AGGTGGATGACACGAAAATATGGTGCACGCCGTCAGCCACTATCAGCCGTCAGCAGATGTGGGTTAGTGAGTCCTAAGGGATGCGACACGACAAACAGGGCACCCATCGTCAGCCACTATGAGCCGTCAGGAGGATGCTTGTGTCAGGTTTTGTATACTTGGGCCCTCCCACAGCTGCGTCAGACAGAGGAAATGTTACATCCTGTGGTCATGATAAACTACATTTTCTACACGACACGCCAACACCCTCACGTGCTAAATTAACAATACTCACGTGCTAAATTAACAATACTCACGTGCTAAATTAACAATACTCACGTGCTAAATTAACAATACCACGTGCTAAATTAACAATACCTACGTGCTAAATTAACAATACCACGTCAAATTAACAATATTCACGTGCTAAAAAATACCACGTAAATTAATACTCACGTGCTAAATTAACAATACTCACGTGCTAAATTAACAATACTCACGTGCTAAATTAACAATACTCACGTGCTAAATTAACAATACTCACGTGCTAAATTAACAATACTCACGTGCTAAATTAACAATACTCACGTGCTAAATTAACAATACTCACGTGCTAAATTAACAATACTCACGTGCTAAATTAACAATACGGAAAAAGATAAATAATCACTAGTTAAATTATCCCCCACTAAGCTTACCTCACCCGACGTTAAATTAACCTCACCTAATCTATCGTAACTTAATCTAATCTAAGCCTGTCCTAACCTAACCTAACCTAACCTAACCCTGTTCCTCAGATAGCGTTGTGGTGTTTAATCATCAGGTAAAATGAGCTGGGGGCGAGGAAGGGAGGGAGGAGGTAGGGAGGGGGATGGAGGTAAGGGGAAGAGGGAGGCTAATCTTCAGGTAACACTCACCCGCCGCCCCCCTCCTTCCAAAATATAAACATCTCAGATTTAAAATAGCAAATACATTAAAAAAAAAATGAGAATACATCGATTTATTTTCTTGTCTTTATTCAGTATTGGTCTAAATATACTTATATACATTATTAATAAACACGAACACACGAACTAACGAATACCTGTCTAAAATAATTACTAACCAGGTTAATTTAGGTGATTTAGCATTGGTTCCAGGTGGGTCAAAAGGTCATCTGGAGGAGATAACAGTATAGGCTCTTAATATATATATATAAACACGAGTAGTTTTATACATATCATACATTAATATACATCTACGCTTATACGTAACTATTACTACTATACGAGGATGATGACAACAGTAACAACAGAGGCCAACAGACAAGAGCAACAGGAGAGCAACCACTATTTAAACGCTAAAACGATATCGACAAGGGTTATGATAACAGAGGCCAACAGACAACGGAAGAGCCAAAACAACAACTACTACTAATGATATCGACGAGGTCAACAGTAGCAACAGAAGCCAACAGACCGCAGCAACAGGGGAAGAACGCACGACTAACAGGGGGAGTTTCTGTTGGCTGGCGTAGCGTCACTGACAAGGTGTGTATTTCGTGTTCACTCATTGGCTACGTCGGTCACGTTTATCTGCGTCGTCCACCAATCAGAGGGCTGCCTATACCTCTAACACAACCAATTAAAGGGTTACCCTACCTCTAACACTACCAATCAGAAGTGCTGTCCTACCTCTAACACAACCAATTAGAGGGCTGCCCTAACCTCTAACACTACCAATCAGAAGTGCTGTCCTACCTCTAACACAACCAATTAGAGGGCTGCCCTACATCTAACACAACCAATCAGAGGGCTGCCCGACCTCTAACACAACCAATTAGAGGGCTGCCCTACATCTAACACAACCAATCAGAGGGCTGCCCTACCTCTAACACAACCAATCAGAGGGCCTGTCATACCTCTAACACAACCAATCAGAGGGCGGGGAAATGTAAACACACGGTCACTGCTGTACGAAGTTAATTACAGGATATACGGACAGCTGAAGACGCCAAGAGACCACGTAAACACCAAGTACAGGCCACGGACGGGACAATACACAGCCACGGACGCTATTACATAAAGATCCCACCAAATATCAAAAGTTGTAGAGAGAGAGAGAGCGAGAGAGAGAGAGAGAGAGAGAGGAACACTGTATGACCATGAGAGTGTTGTAAGCTATTAAGTGTTACCGATACAATAACACCATCAACATGTGTTTGGACAAGGACACACACACACACACACACACACACACACACACACACACACACACACATGAACCTATGGCAACATGCGGTAAAAGATTAATACCAACAATGACAATTCCTACCGAGATAAATTCACCTGGCAACTGACTCTGAAGAACCCTGAATTAGCCACCACTACACCATGACAGTTCTTCGGGAAAAGGTTAGTTTGAGTTAGCGGTGTAGTGGTGATCTTACGGCTCCTCGGGGTGGGGGGCGGTGGTTAGGGGGAAGGAGGGAAGCAAGGAAAGAAAGGGGTGGTGGTTTGGGGTGGGGGGAAGGGAAGGGAGGAAGGGAAGTGTTGAGTTTTATATTTATGGTTCTTGCTAGTCACTTAACATTTGATCTCACATAACTCACTCGGCAGGTTATATCCAGCTAATTATAATTATCAATCACTGGTATATTTCCGCCACCACTCCCTAATCACCTTCTTTCGTTAGTGAGTGTGGGGAAATACGTTAACTAATTTCAAGGTTCACTGTGTTACAGGTGACCAGTCAGTACAGTACTGTAACCATGTACTTATACCCAGACCACCAGGGAAAATATATCTGTACTATCTCACCCTGTGTAACGCCACCACCACCAAACAGACACGGTATTGACTCGTAAATTTCATGGCGTATGTTAGCGAGAGTAGTGCAGAGCAGTCGGTCATGTTGACGGATCACGACCTCTGTGTACCTCTGCTGGTAAACCATGACGAAAAACACACCATACCATTAGGGCACCCGTCAAGTGTTAAGTGAAGGACACCCGTCAAGTGTTAAGTGAAGGACACACGTCAAGTGTTAAGTGAAGGACACACGTCAAGTGTTAAGTGAAGGACACACGTCAAGTGTTAAGTGAAGGACACACGTCAAGTGTTAAGTGAAGGACACGTCAAGTGTTAGTGAAGGACACGTCAGAAGTGTTAAGTGAAGGACACGTCAAGTCCCAAGTGAGACACCCGTCCAGAAGTGTTAAGTGAGGACACCCAATCAGTGTTAAGTGAAGGACTTACGTCAAGTGTTAAGTGAAGGACACCCGTCAAGTGTTAAGTGAAGGACACACGTCAAGTGTTAAGTGAAGGACACACGTCAAATGTTAAGTGAAGGACACACGTCAAGTGTTAAGTGAAGGACACACGTCAAGTGTTAAGTGAAGGACACACGTCAAGTGTTAAGTGAAGGACACCCGTCAAGTGTTAAGTGAAGGACACCCGTCAAGTGTTAAGTGAAGGACACACGTCAAGTGTTAAGTGAAGGACACACGTCAAGTGTTAAGTGAAGGACACACGTCAAGTGTTAAGTGAAGGACACACGTCAAGTGTTAAGTGAAGGACACGTCAGAGTGTTAAATGAAGAACACACGTCAAGAGTGTTAAGTGAGAGGACACCCGTCAAAGTGTTAGAGTGAAGGACACCCGTCAAGTGTTAAGTAGAAGGACACGTCAGTGTTAAGTGAAGGACACACGTCAGAGTGTTGAAGTGGGACACGTCAAGTGTTAAGTGAAGGACACCCGTCAAGTGTTAAGTGAAGGACACACGTCAAGTGTTAAGTGAAGGACACACGTCAAGTGTTAAGTGAAGGACACACGTCTGGTTACATAATATGTGTCCCTTAAGGGTGAAGTGAACAGGTAGGAGGTAACACGTGAGGAAGACACTCGAGACACATACTGAGAACACTTAAAACCTGTTGTGAGTAAAGTCTTTGGTGACAATGACGCTATCAATATACCTCACCTGAGGACCACATCCAGATTACAAGGGGTGAACTTAACTAGAGAGAGAGAGAGAGAGTGTGTGTGTGTGTGTGTGTGTGTGTGTGTGTGTGTGTGTGTGTGTGTGTGTGTGTGCAGGGTGTGTGTGTGTGTGTGTGTGTGTGTGTGTGTGTGTGTGTGTGTGTGTGTGTGTGTGTGTGTGTGTGTGTGTGTGTGTGTGTGTGTGTGTGTGTGTGTGTGTGTGTGTGTGTGTGTGTGTGTGTGTGTTCAATAAATTAAAGACCTGGGGAACTCCATGCAGCACCAATTGGGCCACACTGAAAAATACTGAATCCCGACCAGCGCCAGACACAACCCGAGTGATGATATAAAACCCTCGAGTTACATAAACGAAACACTGCAATATGTCCAAATCCAAAGACAATCTGGAATTAATGTCCGAACCACCCCCCCCCCACCCCCACCCCATCTAAAACCTGAATTAAGATCATGTAGAGACTGCGGGGGAGGGGCGGGGGTGCAGGAGGAGGGGGGGGAGGAGAGGGACATAACCCAGACAGGAATTGTACCCAAAAGTCTTCAAATTAACGTTATTACACACAATACAAGATGACCTCGGTGAAAAACTGCAGTGCGGTTAGGTTAGGTTAGGTTAGGTTAGAAGAGCAAGATGACGTACCGAGCTAGTTTTTGTCCTTGGTTGTACAGTATATACCGGCCAACACAAGGGCAGGGGGATCACATATGTCCATTTTTAATAACATTCGTTGATTCCGAGAAGACATCTGGTAGTGTTTATAACCGAGTACCGTGGGGGAGATAGAACTATGAACCAGTACCGTGGGAGAGATAGAACTATGAACCAGTACTGTGGGGTAGAACTATGAACCAGTATCGTGGGAGAGATAGAACTATGAACCAGTACTGTGGGGTAGAACTATGAACCAGTACTGTGGGAGAGATAGAACTATGAACCAGTACTGTGGGAGAGATAGAACTATAAACTAGTACTGTGGGAGAGATAGAACTATGGACCAGTACCGTGGGAGAGATAGAACTATGAACCAGTACTGTGGGAGAGAT